GATCACAATTGATATGATTATGAACAATAAATTTTGTTCGAAACGTCATCCAGTAAATAATACTGTTTCACTGTGTGATATACTTAATAAACAAACTAATATGGAACCCTCACAAATGGATATATTGATTTCATTGTCGTATCTTTTTGATCATACTCAAATAAGTTAATGTTCGTAACTTTCAATTTATAAATTCCTTTTTGACAGAGAAATATTGAACCACCTAAGGATCGTTCAAATGATTGTATTTTTGGTCTTAAAACAAATGAATCTGATTGGTATTTTTGTGCTGAGTCACCTGATGATGCAGCAGTATGGCGAATCGCTTTGTCTGAAGTGAAAGGATTAACTTTACCTCGTTACCGTGTTCGTATGCCACCTCCAGATGCTCCACCACCAGGATATACAGATGGTGAGAATTACTATCAATATGGTTGCCCTGCCGAAACGACAGTTCCTCTTTATCAAGCTTCTGGAAGAAGGCAGAATGTGCCAGTATGTTAAAAAAATTTGATTTTTGTGAATTCTTTCCTCAAACTACATAGCATATTATTACTAATATTATTATTATATAATTGTTCCCTTGGGTTCCTAGTGAAACAGGGCTTCAGCAGCACATCCCTACTTTGCCCTATTTTCCTACGGTCTTTAGCGGCCCCACGATTACTCATAGTTTCTCTTCTCCTCTCACGATCTCCATGTTAGCTTCGGACGTCCCACTAGTCGTTTCCCATTCGTGTTTCACTCGGACAATGACCTGGCGCTCAATGTCATTCGACGGCGTCCGATCCATCTCTATTTTCTTGTACGTATTTGTTGAGCAATAGGTTCTTGGCTGGTTGTTCACTGAGTGCCTTGTTGGTAATTCCTTCTGGTAATTTGGTCTTCAGTATGAAGCGAAGGTAATGTGTAACATATTCTCCTCACGTATGGGTTCCATATAGAGGCCGGACCTGTAAACTGAACCAACCAACAGGAAATGCTCGAGTAAATAATTCATATCCTCAATAAATTTGAGGAATTAGGCATATGGGAATAGATGAAAGGAGTTGATGCATTCTATTGCCAGTTATTCAGACTTTAATATAAATAGCAGTACAAATTCATCTTCATACTTCTATCACGATGTGGAGTAAAAATATTGTAGTAGTATCTTCTTTTAATCTGATCAACATAAAGTTAACTTCAGTGATTTGGTAGGGTCTCAGTAGATCACCTTTTTAACTAATACAGCCTGATTAATTTAGGAAACAGAATTATCGGGACGTAGTCATAAGTCGGTTGTCGAAATAAATTTCAGATGAAAGATAATCGAAGTCGAATGGTACTATAGTAGAAAAACTTAATGACTGGAAGTGTGGTGGAATGAAGGATAACGGGAGTGTTCAATGTCTATGGAATGTTAATAGATGTATATATTTACCCGACTGTGATCCGTTTCGAGCCCCAACGGGATTATCGCCGAAAAAATCTCAGCAAGGATATAAAAGACTCATGTGGCATTTGCCAACCTGCTCCATCTATGGCGTAGACGTGATATCTGAGTATCAATCAAAGGACGTATATGATGCGTTGCGGTTCGCCCTATCCTCCTTTATGGCTGTGAGACATGACCACTAAAAGTGAGTGAAATATATGAAAAGACTAGCTGTCTTTGATCATAGGTGTCTGCATTCTATCTCCCGTGTTAGGTGATATAATAGGTTAAGCAATATTGAGGTTGGGCGTAGAGTGTTAGTTCAGGAGGGCAAGTCAATCAATGATGTTATGAAGGTGTTGCGTATTCCTAGCTATCGCCTTCCTCGACTGAGAATATTTACTGACATAGGATTAGGTTGCAAAAGAGTTATGGACGGTCAAGCTAAAACTTCGAATCAGTCCATGAAAAATAACAGATAGTTTGAAATACGTAAAGAGGTGTAGACTTCTTGGTTGCTTTGGGTCCTAGGGATGGTAAGAACCCATGAAGGCTGGAGACGAATGGTCATATAGCTGGAAGTCGTTCTGAGTGATGGTGCAGATTCATTCACTCTTTGTGATTTGTCATATCCAGTAAAATCTCATCGTTCTTTCATATTACTATTCTTTTTCCGTCACTGACTCTTGTGTTTATTATCTGTCTTTTGAATATGTGTTTACTCTCTTCTGATGCTTTGCGTGGTACATGGAAGGAGAGGGGGAAGTTAAACTGGTGCACATCTGTGCAAAGCTGTATGTTGAAATTCAGTCAATCAGTTTCAAACGTCTTGAGGATTCCGCTCGTACAGCCTACATTTTTCTACAAATGCTTCGACCAGAAGTTATGTATTTCAAGAATTTGTGTTGTGTTGTGATTTGACCACTCCTAACTCATTTCCGACTGAATTTTACATCAGTAACACATTCCTTGTGGGTGGTGGGGGGAAGAAAGACTTGCCATTGCGTAATACATATTGTGGTTATCGTAGTTGGTGAGAATTCAGTACATTATAGAAGGACTAGCCTTTATTCAACACTATGCATTAGATATCAACATCACTTACTATGCGATGTTCATTTTTATAATACGGAACTCGAAGGAAATTTTTGCTAAATTTTTTGTTCATTCATGCTTATCTTCTATTGAGTTATATGAGAATACCGAAGTGTTTAAGAAATTCTTGATACATTTCATTTTTATGGTATTTTCAGATTGTGTATCGTGGTACCGATGGAGAATATATAATGCCTCGACAAATTATTGAACATCCTGATGGATCACGTACACTTATCCTTGGTGATGGAAATGAAATCCCGTGTCACTGTCGACATGGTTATTATTGTGGATGTGGTTATGGTGTTGGAGATGCTGCCCTGTTGGGATTAGCCGCTGGGACACTTATGTGGTCACCCTTCTTATGGGCTCCGTTTTTCTGGTGTTAATTTCCAATAGTTTGCCATTTTTCTGCTTTTGTTTTTTGTATTCAGCTCTGTCTTTCCTCTAAACAAAGGAGATGGATAGTCAAGTGTAAACATTTTTGAGTTTTTCTTTTTCAAAACTTAATATCGTTATTTATTAGTATTAATTGCTCCATGCATGTGAGAAGGAATGGTTTTTGCCTGCGGGGAATTTCATCCGTTGAATTGTCATATTTTTCTTTTCATTATTACACAGATATTCAGGTGACGTTTCGTCAAAAAGTCATTATTTATTTCCGTTATTTTTGATTTGTATATTTTTGCTTTGAATTTATTTATTATCAGAACCAGAATATTTTGAGCATCATTGTGTTTTCATTATTATTATTATATTATTACTACTTTTGTTTTACTCCTTTCTTATTGTGGTGATGGGTTTTGATTTATTCCTTTAATTATGAATAAAATTTGTCATCTTTATTACGTGTTGTCTGACAGGTGGGATGGTGTATGTTTATATGATTTGATTTTTTGATTTTTGATTACAGCTTGATTCCGCACCGTATTTTTTGGAACAGGTGTGGGATTTTCAGCATGTGATATCGGTAGCCCAAATTTTGCAGGCCGACCATAGATATCGGGTTTGCATCGGCAGGGGATCGAACCCCGGACCATGTGCATGGTCGGCGAGAGTCGTAACCACTGTGCCACCGACGCACATTCATTGATCAGTAAGACTGTAACGGTAGAAGAAAAGAGACTCGGGAACAGGATGTTTATGTGCAATTTGATATATACACATATAGGAAAATTATGGATGTCATATATTAAGGTTATCGTTTGCACAGATCTTCGGTGTTGTGCTACTTCTACCCTTTCTCATTGTGTTTCTTTGTCCTCTTCCTTTCGTGTCTCCAATGTTTTGCCACAGTACACTGTTTAATTCGCTCTCTTCGACTCGAAATCTATCTCTCAGCTTTTTGATATTATTTTTGTGGCAATGAACTTCTCTTTATATATTACTGATAAATAATCTTATCAGCAGCAAACACCACAGAAGTAACAACAAATGTAGAGAGAGGAAGTATAATTTCGGTGAAAATTTGCAACATTCATGAAATGAACGCCGGTGAAACATATGGATCTGAAAACAATAGCGTCAACAAGATTGAGGAAAGAGTTGAAGGTTGTAGTACTTGTCTTTGGTGAAGTGAGCAGTTTTACACATCGGAGAAGCATCATTTGTTGACTGACAATACTGCCGAACTGCTTAAATCCTAGTGTGTTTGAAATCTCAGTGATGGGATCATTGTGTAATGTATTCTCAACTTTTAGGAAATTCTAAGTTATACTTTGATCTCAATAAGTTTTTGGATAAAATGTATTTCGGTAACTACAACAATATAAACTTGATAACATTTGATTTGATTTCATTTGTGACAGTTTATATTAGAAACCCTAGGTGAAGTGGAGTATGCATCTGAAATCCATCAGTTTTTAGGACAGATGTATAAAACAATGGGAGTTAATGTTTTATTATTATTGTCTCCTTTATTTCTTATAGGAAAATAGGGTGTCAGTTGCACGTCTCTATTGCGTTCCGTTCTCCGTCAACATTTTCACCTGGCTAAACGTCTGCCCCCATGCTTCTATCTCCTCTTCGCATCACCTCCCCCGCCATGTCACCCTTGCAGTGACAATCAACTCGCTGCTTCCCACTCGGGTTCCACTTGAGCTATGGCTTGGCGTGTGATGATGGTTTTCTCAGAGTATTGCTAATCCACCTTCATTTCTTCCTGCATATTTGTTGCACAATCGGTTCCTGGTTGGTTCACTCCCAGAGATCCTCCACTAATGCTGATCTTTTCTGGCCATCTGATCTTGAGCGAAGTATTGAGCGAAAACAGCAGTTGATGAAGGTCTGTAGTTTGTTTTAGGTGCTCTTCATGACGCGCCAAGTCTCTGATCTGTATTGTAACAATGACTGACTTCACATTGCAGTTAAAAATCCGGATGAGATTTTTCATGCTGATTGCTGCTGGTCTCCACTTGAGAGAAATGAAAGCTTGCCTTGCTTTCCCGATCCTCGCTTTGATATCCTCATGCGTTCCGTCCGCCTGTAGTTGAAAAGATGCTTCCTAGGTAGGTAGGTTGTAAAGGAGGTTGCTTCTTTCAGATTTCTCCCATTTATGCTGATTGTTGTCTGTTGCTGTTGGCCATGAATCTTCATCACCGCTGTTTTCTCTGTATTCACCTGAAGGTCTATCTTTTCTTGATGCTTTTTCTGCTGACTTGTTGCTTTTCACTTGCATATATTCCAGTTTGTGGGAAATCAGACATATATCATCGGCAAAGTCCAGATTCTCCAAGTTTTTTGTGTGAGTCCATTTTATGGCTGTTTTCTCGCTGCCCACTGTCTGTCGCATTATCCAGTATATCGCAATCAGGAAAATCATTGGAGATGGTAGGCAGCCAGCTTATCTTACTCCCGTTTTCACTTCTTCGAAGGATTCCGTGAGTTTCCTGTTGTGAATTACTTGGCATACAGCACTGTCGTATAACTGTTGGATGAGATGTATAATTGTTGGCGGGACCATGTAGTAGCAAAGTAGTTGCCAAATCACCTCTCGATCAACGCTGTCGAAGGCCTTTTCAAAGTCGATGAAGTTGAATGAGATAGAGAGGTGACTGCCGTTCCAAGCTCTGTTCAATGATGATCCGTAGTGTTGCGATTTGATCGATGCATGGTTTGTTCCTCCTGAATCCAACCTGTTCCGGTCGAAGTTTTTCATCCAGGGTGGCGTGTCTGATTCCCTCCAAGATGATGAGGCTTAGTATTTTGCTTGGAATGGACAGGAGCATAATGCCGCTCCAGTTCTTGCGTTAAACTAAGGACTTAACGTACAGCACATTTGCTGAGGAAGAATACTGGTGAAGATTAAACACACTCACATGTTATTTTGGTTCATATTCCAGTCACCAAGTTAACTGCGATTACCGACACATTCATGCGGTAAACACAATATAATTTCGAAATAATCGAAACCCGACTAGTAATTTAGAAAAGCAATCTTTGAATGTTTGTCATGCGATTCATTCCAGTCAGATGTAAAGTGATGCTATGGGACTGAAATACATTCACTACTCCTAGCTTAAAGATAGGTAGGGGTGGAGTGATTGGATTGGCGTATTGACCACTTCTCTTATTTCAGCGGGAAGCTACATCAGCCAGCCCCAGACGGTTGATTGCTAACGAAATCTCAGCATGCATACACAGGGCTGGTTTGGCATTTGCCAACCCATACCGTCTCTGGATTGGTAGGCGTGATATCCAGCTGGCTTTCGGTCAAAACACGTATGTACTGAATAGCACCAGTTCGCTTCGTTCTCCCTTATGGCTGGCTATGAACGAGACTTGGCCACTCAGGGTGGAAGACAGGAAAAGCCTGTCTGGCTAGCTTTCTTTGACCATAAGTATCTGCATTCTATCTCCCGTGTTAGGTGGTAGGTGTACTAGGGTGAGAAATATTGATGTTAGACTTCGGTCGAGTGTTAGGTAAGGAGGAAGAGAAAATCAATTGACGAGTTTGTGAAGCAGGTGCATCTGTAACGACAGATCGGAAGAGTCAGGCAATAGATCGTTTATTAAGGAAAATTAACACATATTTATAGATTTTAATGTACATTATTGTAGATTATTTTTAGTAGAAAATACAGTCTTTTAATTGTTTTTTTTCTCACAGAAAGTTAACCTTGTATCTCTTTGTGGCTGTGTCAGATCATCCATATGCTAATTGTATCCGCCTACGCAAAGCCTGCTGTCCATCTTTGACTTTGTTTTCACATGACTAATATTTGAGACATAAACATTGACGTCAATTACTGTCTACCAATTTGGCTAGCAACCATCTCTCACCACACATCGATTTCGATGATTGGAGCATGTGTTACGTATGCGTAGGCATAGCCTTCCTCGACGGTCGATGTTAGCTATCATAGGATCGATGAAGCTGGAAAAGAGCTAGTGGTGACCAAATCAAGATACATATTTACTCTCTTATTTTTTTAATTTTATTTTTTATTTTTGATTACAGCTTGATGCCACACCGTATTTTCAATACAAGTATGGAATTTTCAGCATGGATATCGGTAGCCCAAATTTCGCAGGCTGACCATAGATATCGGGTGTGAGTCGGCAGGGGATCAAACCCCGGACCATGTGCATGGTCGGCGAGAGTCCTAACCACTGCGCCACCGACGCACACATTATGCCACAATATGGAAACTAAAAATTGGGGAAACCATGCAAAGCATATCTGTTGCTTTGTGTGGTATATGAAGAGTGAGAAGTTGAACTGGTACACTTCTGTGCAAAGTTCTATGCTGAAACCAATCAGTCAGTCAGGAACGCAGAATTTATTGGTGATTAATGTAAATAAGGATATTAGGAAATTATCTGAGTGCGGTTATGTATTGGGTGGACAGCTATTTATCTATGGCAGTGTTCGACGCTTTGTACCGTGCAATGTTTAAAATTCAATAGTATGAATAGTTGTGTTCCAATCTAGTGGCTAAATATATGTAGTATACTGTTCATGAGATCTTATGCTTCTTGACATAAATCTCCTCAAGGTCATTATTTGCAATCTCTGCTATCATTGGCTGAAAACGGCCAGCTCAGAGAACACTATTAATTAGAAATATTCTTCATTTTTTACTGTAAAATTATTAAAATTTTAGGAAAACACCTGAAATGAAAGTTATTTTTAATCAAAATAGTCCGACAGGTGATGGGAGTATTTTTTTTAATGAATTAAATATTTCTAAATTCATTTGCTCAATTTTTGTTTAGACGAAATTTTATTTTATTGATTTTTGTCACATGATTAGTTTCATGACCTGCAACTTGAAAATGTACTATTATAGTTTTCATAAAATTAATATTCAGGTTTCTGTGAGTGGATTTATCGGTCAACTTTTCTTCTCTATGCTATGCACGTTTTAGCTACACACAGTTTGAAATGCAAAATGTACATCATAGGAAAGAAAAAACAATACAGAAACAATTTAATTTGAGAGTTAAAAATTTCGACCACGAAAATTGTACATCTCGACTTCCCCTGCATTGTTCCGTAGCAGGTCGTAAAGTCTTCATACTACAGTAAAGATTAGACACCACGGCGAAATGACCTTAAAATATCCAATCAAATTCACCTCTCAGCATTACAAATGTATGCTTCTCATAATATTCATTACAAGTTTCACCCTAACCTTAACCCTGTGAATCAGGATGAAACTTGCAACGAAGATTATGAAACTCATCGATTTGTAACGCTGAGTGGCCATCTGATCAGTTGGTTGAGGGTCATTAGACTGTGATGCCTGTTCCTTGGTGTTTCCATACTCTGAACCAGCCACATATAACTAGCCTTATTTTGATGTGGTTGTGTTCTCCGAGCTGGATAGTTAATTTGCGAAGCTTTCATCGCCTTACTAGGTGACATCTTCAGCGCATACTTCAATTTGAAGTGAGCTTTTAGATTTCTCCACGAG